ATAGATAGATAGATAGATAGACAGATAGATAGAGTAGATGGATGGATAGATAGATAGACAGGATAGATAGATAGATAGATAGATAGATAGATAGATAGATAGACAGATAGATAGAGTAGATGGATGGATGGATAGATAGATAGATAGATAGATAGATAGATAGACAGAATAGCTGGATAGATAGATAAATGCTACATAGATAGATAAGTAGGTAGGTAGATTTTAAATACTCCCCAAATAAAAAGGAGATATGACAAAATGAACTTAAAACATTCTAATGAATAAAAGGTTTTATAGAAAAATTAAAAAGTGTAACTTCCTTTAAAAAAATAAATATATATATATATATGTATATATACACACACACATATCAGGAGTGGAGGACTCCGTAGCGAGCTTACTCTGTAAATAAATAAATAAATGGTGAAATCTCAGAATGGCATTTTGATTTGCTTTTTAGGTTGGCTGGGTATTTCAGATGACCCTCTGCAGGGCAGTTCCTCTGCCTGAGGTTGTAATTAAGACAAGACTCTCCAGTTCCAGCTTACCAAGATATAAAGGCTCAGAATGAAAATCGCTATACAATTCTCTCCAAAGGGTGAGCATCCCTAACACTCAGATTGGTTTAATTTTAAGATACCTATTTAATTAAGATGAGCCCTGATCACAGGTATTTTGGTACTTGGGCTTGATGAGGGATAAAAATCACATCTCCCCTGTGTTTACAGCCTTGAATTGGAATACATTAGAACACAGGGAAGGTGTGTGAATGCATTTTAAAAATGAAACGGTAAACGAGATCTAAGCAGCCTCTGTGTATTCCTTCCAGCCATGATGAAGGTCTGTGAGTTTCCTGAGCTATCCCCTGCCAAGAGGTTGCTGAGAGCAGGAGGCAGTGGGAGACCCACTTCACCTCACATTCATTCCAGAGAATTAAAAAAAAAAAAAAAAGTCCAAGAACAACAGACTCTGGTCCTTGTTCAAATCACTGAGCGTAGGCAGCCGTCCCTGTGTGGCAATTTGCAAAGGAAGCCCAAAACTGTGCAGAACCCATTGACAATGTCCAGGTTTCATTTCTGGTATTTTGGGGGCTCTGCTGAGGTCACAGACATGTACGGTAACAGAGACACCCCCACACACACTCCCTCCATCGCGGGCCAAGGCTAACTCAGTGCCAACAACCTGCAGATTCGTTTATTTCTGTGCATGTAGACGGTCTAATATTCTAGTCTTGATTTCACCTCCCACATGAGAGAAATTACAATTTATTATAGTTTGCCTTTCATCAAACCTGAAGAGTTCTCTGCGCATTGATCCATGCAGCT